CGCAGCCGCCGCAACTTTTTAACATTATCAAATTACCCACTTAACACTTTTCTATATTGTCTCGAGTCTGGGTGTGTTTGTGGCACTGTCGTTGTTTCCGATTTCCATAAAACAAGTGCTTCAGCTACTTATTTTAGGATCAGAGCAACGTATGTGATGTGGTCGGAAGGATTTTCTTAAAATTGTTCCCCGGTGGCATATTAACGCATCAAGACAAAATTAAATATTGCACAGAATTTTATGTGCAGACTTTTTATATTCCTTAATACTTGCAGTGCCAACCTTGGCCAGATTTTGTCATACAACATGAAACATACTCTCATAATCAGCTCCAACTGAGGCTGCGAGGCAAGCACCCTACTGCTGAGTTTGGACCTACATTCTGCTTGCCAGTGCTTCCAGGATATAGTGAACTCTCCTGTTGATATGCCTCCATACACCTGTAAATTAAAGAATATTACCATTTTAGATATACATTGCTTACCATAACTAAACTTGCACTTCCAGCTCATTAGTTTATAATATAATATGTTTATAGTATAATAAATTGTAAAATGTGCAGGACACGGAATTTAATGAGGAAAACAGCAATATATGATTTGTATTGTAAAATCTAAACCAAATCAGAATTCTATGCATTTTTCTGATGCAGTTGCAAATGAAAAGCAATTTTGACATATTGTATGACACAAAATAGAGTCTTTTGCCCATTTATGACAGGTTAATGCAAGTGGATAATGTAGTTGGACGTGGACATTTCCAAAACTCAGGTTATATTGAAATATAAAACTTCTAATGAACATACTGAATTTTGACACTTACACTATAGACTGGCATACTTCTCAAAGAATTATCAACTAGTTTAAACTCGTTGCTGTCTGCCGCTGAGTGCAACTTCATCAATGCACGGGCAACATCCACTCTTCCCTGTACCACCATCCCAATGACAGTGTCCCAGTACTCTGGATGGTCTTCGGAACCTCGTTCACAGGACTCCAGCAACTGAGCAGCGATCTGTTCATGGCAGGGAAAGTGGAACCGAACCCATTCTAGTAAAAAGGGTAGTACAACATCACCAGGTACATTGTCAATATAAAGTATTTCACATAAGTGCCATATACATTCAATAGAATAGAAAATTGTTATTTGCGAAAGTAGATTATTCTTTGCCACGCCGTCTGATTCCTTTCCAGCGGCTTCCTGTAAGTTTTCGATGCATACTCTGATAATCGAACGATATTGACGCGAAAGTTTTAAGAACTCCACCTGATTGTCGGTTGTTTTCGCCGCTTCGGCCACTTTTTGCAAGGACAAGAATGTGCCATTAGATTCATTCACTAGTTTACGTAGAATTGGCGTGAAAAGTAATATTTCTCGCTGGATAATCAAGATTTTATTTTCAGGCACGTTTGTAGGAGTTTTGCTAACTGATTGACTTCTAGGATATATAGCGAACTTGTTACCACTTCTCCAGGTACAGGCGGCTCCTTTTTCAAAGCATTGGCCTGGTAAAGCCTGAAATTTTAAGAATTAATAAGGAGTTGATAAATATAACCTATACATAAATAAAAAGATAACTTACAATGGTTTTAACGCGATTATTTGAATCCATGGTTCTCCCTGGCGATAAGGTTGTAAAAATCTAAAATACACTATCTAGTAACTGCTCCAAATCGGCTCTTTTGTTAAATACAATTGCAAATCAAAAACACACAACCGGTTCATTTCATTTTTTTTCCGTCGTTCCGTTTGGAACAGGCGAAGATCAGAGACCATACTGCCCAGTCATTAGTTACTCTTTTTCTTCAATATGTACCGTTTCATTTAATTTTTCCAGTAACATTTTTTTTTCTGTTATCTGTCATGGCTTTTCAGTTAGTGTTTCAGCCACATTTAGGTGGCAAATAAATACAATCAGGTGTTGCCAAATAATGTTCTTATGTTGCCGATGTGACAAAAGAAGTTGTGAAGGTGAACAAATTCACAATGCACAAATTCAGGTAATACATATATTGGCGCAATTCATCGCGTTGCGCGATGTAACTTTAACCTTAATGAATTCTTACCATGGTGTATCTTTCAACCCGGTCACTGGCAGAATTATCATCAGTGAGACAGTCCATCCTCTAAGGACAGAAGCCAAAACACCTTAGACAATGGAAACTAATTTTCCATCCTGTAAGCAAAACACCCACTCAAAAAAGATTTTTTTAATTTTTTTTATTTCTCCTACGAGGAGGAAGCTTAGCGTCGTAACTCAATGCTCAAGTCAGGACTTGAGTATGATTTAAAGCACTAGAAATCATACTCAAGTCCTTGCCATTAGGGTCATATTTTCAATGCTTGAAATCATACTCAAGTTCTGACTTGAGCATTGAGTAGAATTCTGAAATGCGACTCTTGGACTATTTTCCATCCTTTATGGGAGGAAGATATTTCCGCCTTCTGCCACCTCTACTAGAAAACGAAAAAGGTTATGAAGTTATTTACAGTTACATCATTTCCACTTTTGATGTCATATGAAGATTGAAATATATACGTACGTATTTAATGAAAAATTAAAACTAAAAATGAAGAAAAGAAAATTAAGAATATGCTGTATTGCATTATGCCAAAGCCGCTAAAACTCTACAACACAAAAAAGATTCGTTCGAATACACGCACACAATAATGCAAAAAGCTAAGATTTGTGAAAAGTACACCACCTCTTTATTAATAAAAAAAACACGGCGTTTACATTCTCCGGTAGGAAACGCTGTAGTCACGAATTATTTTTTCGATTTAGCCACATTATTCCCATATATTTATATATTACCAATAAAGTTATTCTGTATTTGCTTCTACAATGAACATGTTGAGTCAAGATATCAATATTTCGTGAACTTTACAAATTAAAATAATCGCACTTGACCGGATGAGCTGTCGGAGGACATGTTGATTTAGTCACGAATAAAACGATATTTGTCAATTCGTCAAAAAGTGTATTGTTTAGACTGGAATTAACCAAAATTATTCAGTAAACTAAGTGATAACGTGGTGTGCATCATTCTAGCAGTATAATGTGTGATATATATTTACCTAAATAAGTCTGAAAAAGGGAAACAATATCTTAGAAGTCGATCGCAATTATTTGGTAAGTTTTTGGTGTTGCTTCAAAATTTTGCCTGTCACTAACTTTCTATGTAGTAAGTGGACCGAGGTAGTTCCGTGCGTTGTATAGGAGACCTTCACCCCATCAGATGGCTTCGCGCTTGGAGGTCGGCGGCCGTGTCGGTAGCGGTTGACGTTGCACACTAAAATTGTTTTTAGGCCGTGGTGTTGATTGTTTAGTGACGTCACTGGTGTGAGAGCCGAGGATCTTAACTTTAATGTGGTGATATGATAAATATTATCTTGGCTGATAAGCGCTATCGCCGTGGCCGTCCTGCAATTTGTCTAGAATATATTCGTATTTCCGAAAACAGTGTTGTGTTGTGGAATATTTTTAATTTGTTTTACATTTTTTATTCCACCAGGGCGAGTGGAGTTTTTTGTAAGTTGCTACTTTTATTTATTTGCACGCATTCTGGCAGTGTTGCAAGTCGAATTGAATACTGACTTTTTTTTAACACTGCTTCACCTATTCATTCACCGTACTAGTCATGGCTCTTTCTAAAACCAGCTATCAGTAATGTTTATAATAGTAAACTATTTGTCATTAACACTAATAGCAGTGCTAATATTGTCGTTTGCATTCTTAAAATGAGTAAATGCAATTTGTTGCCATATACTTTTTAATTTACGACAATTCACTCATAACAATTACGCCACAGATTGTACACTCCTTAAATGCTAGGTCAATTGTCTTTCAGAATGTTCTCCACTGTTGGAGTAAACAAAAGTAGTGTATAACCAAAATATATACATAAACATCTCGTACCCATAAACTTACGGTTTTGCGACCTGAAAACGGAAGAACTTTGCTAAATTACACTTCACAGTGCAATATGGTTGTATGACCATGTCATACATTTTTTCACTTATTCATACGAGAATGTTATTGTTATCATGGTCACACATAAATATGTGGTAAATTGCCATTTCAATAACTCAATTGTTTTCCCTGTTCACTTATTTATTGTTAAGTTTAGAAAAATATTTATATTCTACTATTATGTATGTACATTGGTCCAAGTAAAATCCAGTTAAATAGTGTTATTACCACTTCATATAATCCTGGTTGTTATTGAAAAATGTAATAGATATTTTTGAAAATTTGAAGTTGAAATTTTCATATTTCACCAAATATTTCATAACAGCTTATAAATGTATTTAGAAATGTGCTTGCAATTCAGCAAAAACATAAAATGGATATAGTAAGTCGCAAAAGAGCAAATGAGATTCATAAAAATCAACTCCATTATGATGATCATAGTAATTTATAGTATAATATAACATACTAGTATTTCTGTATAATACAAAAGCACATCTGATAACAGTTATCAGAATCCCTTCCATTGACGTATATGGCTCTAATGTTATTGTTCCGCAGATTGCTGCATATAGTGCTGTGAGCATACACTAAATTAATATTTATACAAGTAGTAGTAATGAATGAGACTCTAAAAGACTCATCTGGATCAGTGTCGAAAAGCTCAGCAACAATTGTTTTGGTTTTGTATTTTTTAAATACGGAGCAACACATTCCAATACAACCCCAAGTTTATAAAATTGTTGCAATCAATTTGTTCTGGAACTAGTCTGTACACTTATCATTCAGGTATCATTAGTCATTTGAAAGCCAACATTAAAAAGGAAATCTAATTTAGAATGTACATAATTAATATTTAATTTACACCAGAGTTTTGACACTGCTAATTACTGCTTACTATTTAGAATGAATCCCTATAGAGCAGTTAATTTTACTATATATATGTGCAATTACTTTATAAACAGTTAAAACTTTATTTGTAGTAGGAACCTATGTTAATGTGGACCTAGTAACAAAACATTTCACACTTATCCACTTACGTGTTTGTAAGGATTCCACGACCCTCCTGAGTAGGTTTAAGCTCTACCTAGACAATTCAAGTACTATATTATAGACTCAAAAAATTGTGTTCTGTTTAACAATTTTAATTGGATTGCTGTTTAATAAATGGTGCTTTATGTTGTATGATAAAATCTCCAATTAATTACCTATTCTGGATGCCCTAAGTCAAGTCATTTATTATAAATATTAAATAATGTAATGATTGTTGTAATTGATTGTTATGTATTGAATAGGTATATTAATTGATTATGTCAAAAATGTTTCAAGAATGAATATTGAGCGATTTCTAATTCACATATAATTAAAGCTATTTGTATTGAAATGTATCAAATATGACTATGGGAATGTTCTATTTACCAAATACACTTCTTTTCATTTGCCCAGTGGTAGAATGATTGTTTGAGGTCGACAATTCGAGTCCCTTGGACAGCATGTACTTATACATGACTTTAAATTCTAAATTATTTTATTTATGACTGCTTAGTAGGAATAGACTAAACAGTGGCACATATAAGGGTAGACAGTGACAATTATCAATTACCAAATTTAGAGTATACATTCTCAAGTAATAAGATGTACCTCTTGGAACACTGACACAAGTACAAAATTTAAAATTTTATTGATACTGAAAATCTTACCATATCCTATTGTAACTTACTACGCATATTTGTAAAACTTTTTGTTTTATTTTCATACAAAACCTCATTCTGTTGCCAAATTCTTGGGATAGGTCATTGATCTAAACCGGAAAGCCAACATACACACAATACGTTACTCCTTCTCGAGTTCTTTTCCATTGTGGCTTGTTTTATTTTTCTTGTGTTTCTTTATCGTCGCCTTAGAGTGAAAACTTCGGGTACGCGTTTTCACATAGTTCGTTTTTAGTGATTTTTGTTCGAGAAAAACTTATTTAAATCGCCTATATTTGTTTTTTCAAACACACCAACGTTTCGGGCCTCGTACAGGTCCCATGGTCGTATCCATGGGACCCGTACAAAACTTCTTGCTCAAATATATTATTTAAGTAATATGGAATCTGAAACAGGTGTAATTTAAGTAATTAAAGTACTAACAACAAACATTATTGCGTTTACTATATTTCACGTCACATTTTTATCTTCGTCCTGAAAAATTACATAGAAATCACATACGAGGTATTCACTCTATGACGACGTTATGCACCTTTCCTATATATTTATTTCTAGCTAATACCATATCAGATTAACCTCATAATAAGTTTTAAAAATTCCGTACGCGAATACAATTAATAGTTTCAAGCTGCCGATCTAGAACACTCCTGTGTTCAAAACAAACAAGTGGAGTGCCACGTGTTAAAGTCCGTCATTTACGAAGGAATATCCATTCGATCGTACACCTATTCTGGCTAATCTTATGGTCCATTTTGAAGTTCACCAATGCTTTAATAATTATTGTACATTACTGATATTAACATTTTGTTTACTTTACAACGTTTGCTAAAAACCATTTCCGTAATAAAACGACCACAGTCGCAAAGGTCGATTGGAAGCCTCGGCGCGTCTACTCACAGCAATGTCATTTCCGCGATCTTTATAACAATTTTACCTGAAGCTAAATCACAAAAACTGTAGTTAAATCTTATATTTTTACAAATCCAATCAATCCAAACAAAGTATCTCAATTTTGTACTTTACATCTCTTTTGGTTACTCGTTTATTTTTGATACTTT